CAAAAGGCCAACAAAATGGGTAAGTCCCTAGAAGAAATAATCAACAAATGGCGGGGAGGAGTATTGCCAATCTTGGCATTAAAAGAAGAGGGTAATCTTACTATAGATCCTACAGCCATTATAAAGGCAATAAGGTAATATGATGACAAATTATTATGATAAATTTAATTATTTAGAACAAGTGGACAAATTACGTGACAAACACCACTTACTAAAACTGATTAAAAAATTAAAAGTCTGACTTGTCCTCTATCTGTTGGACAAATTGGATTTCTAATAAGAAATCTTCCCACAAAGATATATTGATTCCCCAACAATTTCATTGGTGGGTTTTATCAAACTCTGAAGTAAGGAATGATGCAAATATGCACAAACTCTTAGAAACTAAAAGAAGAGGGAACAATTTCCAACTCATTTAAAAAGTTTGGAATAACTGAAACACAAAGACCTGACAAAGAAATTGTAAGGAGAGAAATTTACAAAACAGTATCAGTCATGAACATAAACATAAAACAGTATCAGTCATACAACCTACCAAGACCTTTGCAAAATATTAGCAATGTGAATTCAAATATATATATTCAAAAGTGAATTCAAATATATATGTGTATGTATATATACACACACACACATATATATGTATACAAACACACAAACATACGCACACAAAATGACCATTGTGACCAAATGGAGTTATTCCCAGAAATCAGGTTTGGTTCAGCATTAAAAATTAATACATAAGCTGTTTGGTTTCAGCTAAGAGAGTTAGAGAAATGGATAGAGCTTTGCTTCCACACTTACAATTAAGGGGAAAAAATAATAAATCACTGACCAAACAAAATCAATAACTTTTCTTGAGCCCATTGGAGAATTGGCATGGCAGGGCAAAGGAATAACCTCAAATCCAGGGAGAGACAATTGCCTACAAGAAGAAACAGAATTCATGCACTTGCTTACCAAGAACAAATGCCACTGCCTGCCATATAAGTCAGGAAAAAAAATTAAGCTTAAAAATTTTAATGAATTACTCAAGGCCACATATGGGTGTGAAGTCTCTGGGTAGTAAACATAGAGGGATTTTCACCCTCTAATAGTCCTTTCCTCCATGGACACCACCAGGAACTCAGAAGATAGAAGAGACTCTTAAAAAAGTTGTGCTGACTGGGGGAAGGGAGTAGTAGCCACTGCTGAAACTCTGCCCAGATTCATCTCTGTATCTCTTCTGTGGAAAAAAAGCTCTAATCTGCAGGAAGAGGAAGAATAAAAATTGCCAGTTAACGGTACTGGAGAAAATCTAGCTGAAGGAAGAGAAGGGAAAACTAAGTAAATAAAACTCTACCCTGGGAGAGTGCCAGAAGTCAATGCTAGGTCTAGGACTATAGATGGTAGAGGGGCAGGGTACCTGTAAATGCCACACTCTCAAGATTCAAATCCACAATTCTTGCCTCATGCTGAAGCTTATTGAACAACAGAGAATGCCCCCTCCACCAGTCTCCACCACTGTGCTAACAAGTATTGAGTAAAAGTAACATATATCTGTGATCACTCCAATGAGACAGATTCTCTCTGGTGAGCAGAGAGAAGGAAAACTCAAAGTCAAGTGGAAAATTGAGAAACATTGAGAAACATTGAGAAAACAATCCTGGCAAATTAGCTCATTTTCTAACACAGGTATCACTAAAGGAATTTGAGACCATGGTGCACTGGGAGATGATTATAACAGCAACAACCTTCAAACACAGCCCAGACTCCTGACAATATTAACACAAAACCCTACATTTAGGCTATGAAAGGCCTAGCATGAACAATTATACTCCAACAAATTAGATAACCTAGAAGAAATGGATAAGTTGTTAGGAACTTAAAACCTACCAAGACTGAATCATGAACAAATAGAAAATCTGAACAGACCAATAATGAGTAAGGAGATTGACTCAGTAATCAAAAACCTCCTGAGAGAAAAAAACCAACACCAGGTGGTTTCACTAGTGAATTTTTTACTAGTGAACATTTAAAGAAGAATTAATGCGTAATTTTCTCAAACTCTTCCAAAAAATTGCAGATGAAGGAATGCTCCCAAACTCATTGTATGAGACCAACATTACCCTGATACCAAAGCCAGATTGATACACCAGAAAAGAGAACTACAGTCCAATATCCATGATGAATATGGATGCAAAAATGCTCAACAAAATTCTAAGAAACTGAATTCAACAGCACATTAACAGGATCACACACTGTGATCAAGTGGTATTCAACCCTGAGATGTAAGGGTGTTTCAAAATAAGCAAATCAATAAACGTGATATGTCCATTAAGAGAATGAAGGAAGAAATCGTATGATCCAATCAATAAATGTAGAAAAAACATTTGACAAAATTCAACATTCTTTCAAGATAAAAACTCTCAATAAACTGAGTATAGACGGAACACACATCAGCATAATAAAGGCCATATAGGAAAAACTCACAGTTAACATCATACTCAATGGTGAAAGGCTGAGCACTTTTCCTTTAAGATTAAGAGCAAGACAAATGTGCCTACTCTCACCACTCCTATTCAACATAGTACCAATAGTGTTAGCCAGTGCAGTTAAGCAAGAAAAAGAAATAAAAGACATCCAAATCAGAGAGGAAGAAGTAAAATTGTCCCTGTTTGCAAGTGACATGATCTTATATACAGAAAACACTAAACTCCCCACCAAAAACTGTTAGATCTAATTGTTCAATACTATGGAGGTTTCTCAAAATTCTGGTCCAGCAATCCCATCTAGGTATATATCCAAAGGAAATGTAATCACTTCAAAGAGATATCTACACTCCCATTTTATTGCAGTATTATTTACAATAAGCCAAGATATGGAAACAACCTAAGTATCAATTCACAGATAGACTTTAAAATGTGGGTAAATGTACACAACAGAATGTTTTTCAGCCATGAGAAAGAAAGAAATGCTGCCATTTGTGATGACATGGGTGGACCTTGAGGGCATTACGGCAAGTGAAATAAGTCAGCCAGAGAAAACAAATACTGTATGATCTCACATGTGAATCTAAAAAAGAAATAAATAAAAGTTAAGCTCATATAAACATAGTAGAATTGCCAAGGGCTGGGTAAATGGGGAGATATTGGTTAAAGAGTACAAACTTACAGTATAAGATGCATAAGTAATGGGGATCTAATGTTTAGCGTGATGACTATAGTTAATAATACTGTGTTATACACTTGAATAGATCTTTGGTGTTCTCACCACAAAGAAAAAAATGTAATTATGTGAGGTGGTGTAGATGTTAACTAACCTTTTTATGGTAATCACTTTATAATATCTATGTATATGAAATTATCACATTTATACCTTAAACATATACAATGCTATATGTCAGTTTTATTTAAATTAAGCTGGGGGAGGACTAGCAGCAGAAATGAGATGCTTATCTCCAAGCATAAAATTTATTGACCTCAATATGCAACCATCACAATCAGACATGACACAGATGTGGAATTTAAAATAACTTATTAATATATTAAAGGATTTAATGGAAAGATAGACAACATACAAGATCAAATAGGTAATGTCAGCAGAGAGAAGAAAACTATGAGAAAATTAAGTGGAGTGGCAGATACAGGCTTTCAGTTAGGGTATCAATAGGTCATGGGGATCAAAGGCACAGCATAAGGAATATAGTCAATGGTATTATAATATGTTGTATGGTGACAGATGGTAGCTACACTTGTGGGGAGAACAGCATAGCATCTAGCCTTGTTGAATCACTATGCAGTACACCTGAAACTAATGTAACACTGCATGTCAACTATACTTTGATAAAAAGAGTAAAATGGAAATGTTGGAAAACCAAAATAACAGAGATGAAGATTGTCTTTCATGGGCTCCTCAGTAGGCTTGATACAGACAAGGAAGGAATCAGTGAACCTGAATATAGGTCAATAGAAATTCGCCAAATGAAATGCAAAAGAAAAAAGAGTGTGGGGGAGGGGCGTGGATCAGAATATAGAATCCAACAGTTTCAGATGATATTAAATGGTCTAAAATATGAATAATTGAAATCCCAGAAGAGAAAGAGAATGGAGCTGAAGAAATATTTGGAGAAATGATAGCAGAGGATTTTCCAAAATGAGTAACAAACACCAAACCATGGATTCAGGCAACTAAGAGAATACCAAGTGGGATAAACACAAAAATAAACACACAAAACCATGTAGGCATATCTTTTTCAAACTGCTGAAAACCAAGACAATAAGAAAAACCTGAAGGCAGCTGAAGTTAAAAAAAAAAAAGACACATTATCTACAGAGGAACAAGGATAAGAGTTCTAGCACGTTCTCACCAGAGAACATGCAGTAAGAAGACAATGGTGTGGCATGTTTGAAATGCTGAAGGAAACTGTCAACCCAGAATTCTATATCCACAAAAAATAGCCTTCAGAAACGAACTTGAAACAAAGACTTTCTCAAACAGACCAAAGCTGAAAGAATGAATGCATTCATTGGTAGCATAAGAAATGCTTCATAAGGAATGTTAAAGGAGCTTCTTCAGGCAAAAGGTATATGAAAGTACTCAGAAATTTAGATCTGCACAAAGAAATGAAAAGCTCTGGAGAAAGGATAAGAGGAAGTAAAATATAATTTTTTATTAATTTCTCTAAACGATTTTATTTTATTTGAGAGAGAGAGTGAGCATGAGTTGGAGGAGGAGATAAAGGGAGAGGGAGAAGCAGACTCCTTTTTTTTTTTTTGTTAGTAGAATCTTTTTTATTCAGAAAAAAAAAAAAAAAAACCCAAAAAAGTTTTCCAACCACACACAGGAGGGGTTTGGGTAGGGGGAGGTGTCTGTCCATCCAGCCCCAGCCCCCAGCCCATGTGGTTTTGGCAGCAATAACGGGTGTGGGGTAATGGCCCAAAAAATAAAAATGGTGTATGTGTGTGTCTGGGAAGGAGAGGGGTGCAAAAGCCGTGGGGAGTGGTGGGAAGGGACGGACGAGGTCAGTACTGGGAACGCCGCAGGTGGGTGGCCATTTCATAGCATTTCTTGTTGATTATACCACCGTGGACACCTTCTTTGCCCATCAGCAGGACTAGCGTCTTGGCAGTCAAGGTGACAGTGATGTTGAAAGTGGGGGCTCCCCCAGTGCTCTTGGTACGAAGATCCATGGTAAATTCCCCATCCTGCAGCAGTGAGTCCCGGATAACAGAACATTTCTGGCCCCCAAGTGTCAGCCCGTTCACGAAAAAACTTGACCGGTCTTTGCCAACCAGGACACCAACCTCAGCTGGCGTGATGTTGACGAAGGTTTTCCCGGGGACGGCGGCCCAGACGGAGGGCGAGTCCTTATAGCCCACGATGGCCGCGTCCTGACAGGTCCGGTCTGAGCAGGGAGCCTGACACACTGGGCTGGATCCCAGGACCCTGAGATAATGACCAGGGCCAAAGGCAGCCGCTTAACCAACTAAGCCACCCAAGGACCCCTCTAAAAGATAACTATTTAAAGCAAAATGTAGTAACAATGTATTGCATATTTACAGCCTATGTAAAAATAAAATTAATGACAATCTGGGAGAGGGTGGGAGGGAGGGATTGGAAATAGACTGTTTTAAAGGTGCTTACCCTACATGTGAAGCAGTATAATTTATTTGAAGTCAGACACAATTTATTTAAAAAGTAGATTGTAAATCCTAAGACAACCACTAATAATTATTTAAAAGAAGTTAAATAATTCAATAGAGGAGATGAAATTGAATTATAATTGCTTAATTAAACCTACATACCTTAATTAAACCTACAAAAGGCAGAAAAAGAAAAAAAATTGAGAACAAATAGAAATCGGATATCAAGATGTTTGATTTTCACCCTACCAGTTCAAAAGCCAATAAATGTGAAAAGAAGGAGGAGCTGGATATTCACTTCCTGATTCCGGCTTTGGCCTTCAGGGAAAATATTCAGGAGTTAGCTTTTTTATTCTCCAGAAAAGCACAGGATCCCTAAGCAAAGCTGGTGTCCCCCTGAGCATCATCCCTGGGAGGTATCACACAGTGCAGTAGAAATTGCCTCAAGTAGAATTCAAGGTTGGGAGATTCTGGCTCAACAAGATGGTCACTGGCCAATGCTAAATTGCTTGCCTTATAGATTGTTCCAGGGTTCTCTACAACCAGGGAAGAGGGAGCTGCCTGGAGAACAGAGTCGTCAAGAAGCCTTTGCACAGCGGCAGGACTTGAGCTGCATCCAGAGGCTGCATGGATGCAGGCAGGTTGCACTGAGGGAGGACCTGGAGATCGTGGAATGGGGCCCCGGAGGTATTTGATTTTGCCTAAAATATGGTAGTGATGGCTGACCCTACATCATCCAGTTAGAATGTGTCTGTCAGTATTACAGAGTTGTCTCTATTTGCTGTTAGAGAGGTAGCGTCTGAACATAGTTATTACAAAGTCTTCCATGGCTGTTGATTCCCTTGCCTGAGACTTCGAAATGATTTTAAGTCACCTTCATTCATGGCGGTTTGGGAGAGAGGTAGGGCCTTTGAATTACTCTCATTCTTACCCGATGGTACTGCCTATCCTTTTGTTAAATGTATTTGGCTGATACTTATGGAACAACTTACACTGTCTAGTCAAACAAATTAAAACACTGATTTTTGCTTTCCTCAACTCAGTCAATTTTTAATAATCATGTTGTCATTTTTCCCCAAACTTGGCACCAAAACTTTATTCATTCTTCTTAGAAATTCTGTCACCAACCTACTATAAAAACTGTCATTATCTCTCAAAGTCACAGTCCTGACATCTGTTAAGTAAAGGTTTATTTTACACTTCAAAAGTCAATCTGCACAGCAGACTAAACTCCTTCAGAATTTTACAGCTTGCTCTTGTCAAATATTTGGGAAAATAAAATTTGCTTTTAGAAAAATATTTGGTTTTCATAGAAAAGAAAATCTCTTTATTGATTAAAAAAAAAAACCTTTGTTTCTTTCCCTGAAAAATAAAAAAAAGTATTTTCATATCAATTGGTTTTTTAGAAAAAAAAAACTAATTTTTTTTAAAAGTTAGAAGAATTTCTATGTGTTTTATTTCAAGTAACACACCAATTTCTCTTAGCTCACACCCCTGAAGGTTGACTGGGTCCTCTAAACTCCAGACACATTATTAGAAAGACAATCTCAGCAATGTGATTGGTCTTGAGAATGAGGGAAGAGACTGATGCTGCCTTCTCCCTGTCCCTCTGGGTGCCCCTAGCCTTTCTCCATAACCCCTGCCTGGTAGATTTGAGTTTGAACCATGGTTCTCTGTGCTAAAGATCCTCTCTGACCCCTAACAATCTGGGGGACAAATCTCCACTTGCTTTCTAATGCCTCTGGAAACAAAGCAAGGGAACAAACATCTAATAGAGTATCTGCCCTGTAATGGGCTTTGTGAGAAGAACTTTCTGTGTGCTGCCTTGTTTAATCCTTGCAAGAGTCCTACGAGATAAGTATTTTCTCTGGATCTCACTCAAATCAAAGCTTATGTTTTGACTCTTGAATTTTGCTTCTTCCCAACAGCTATGAACTTTTCCCTAATGAGAATGCTTGTCTCAGCAGCTACACATATTTGTCATCCTGCACACTCCTAATTGCAGCTTTGTGCTTTAGAAGTCTTTCCAGACAGACCATGTTCTGGGGATGCTACCTTCTTCCTTATGCAGATCTACTATCCAATAGAAATAGTGGTGGGCGTGAGTATGGAGTTTACAAGAATGTCCGTAGGTGAGTTCTTGTGTGGAGCTGAGACAAAGTGCCACTGCTACGGACACAGAAGTCATGACACCTGCTCCCACTTCCCACACCCCCAGTCTTGTCCCCACTGCAAGAGGTAACAAGAAGGAACGAGGCACAAGAAACCAGAAGACCTGGTCTCGGCTACTTGTTCTGCCATTAATTAGCTGTTTCACACTGGAAAGAAATCACTTGGACTCTTCCAACTCCATTCTCTTTTTGTTAAATAAAGGGGAGATGATAGTGCCTACCTCTTTGGTTGCTATAAAAACCAAATGAATCATGTGCAAGTAGTTTGAAAACTATAAAGGACTTTTAGGGATGTTCCAACTAAAATTCATTCTTAATACACCTTGGATAGAACCCTTCAACCTCCTTATCATTGTTTGCCAGTTGAGAATCTGGGTTACAAGCAACTGGAATTAGCTCTGATGAACTGAGTTCGGAGTTCGGAAGATGATAGCAGGCTCGTAGACTCTCTGGGTGGCTTAGGAAATAAGAACAGAGGGGGCTCTGGAGGCCAGATGGAAGGAACAGTCTAGAAGGACAAGGCACCAGATAGTGCTACTGCCACTGCTTGATGCCACAGGATGCCACTGGCATGAGTGAATTCTGTACTTTTCCTTTGCATTTCTTGCTTCAAATTCAAAGACTCAGGGTGATCTGAGATGAGTAATTGGACAAACATAGTTTCCGTGATCATGCCTTGAATGCCAGACAATGGGAAAAGGAGGATCTCCCTCCTTCATTCTCCATAACTGGTGACTAGAGCTATGGATCCTTCAGATATCATGCACAGTGGGAGATGCCCATAAATAAAAAGAAAATTTGAATGCTAGATGGTAAAACTAAGACAAAAACAACACAAACCCATACCCAAGACCTCCTGCATAATCTGGCCATACGCCACTCATTAGCTTCGTCTGACTCCACCAGCATCCACTCCCACCCCCATACCCTACTCACTCGTGTTATTTCATTTCTTCTTTTGTGCCAAATTCTTTTCCACTTCAAGGCCACCTAACTGCTACACCGGGAATTCTCCATTTTCTACCTTCTTCTTTGGCTACCCCTCCCCCACCCCCACTCAGCCTGTAAGTTTCAGTGTCAATGAAACTTCTACAGGAAATACTTTTCTGACCACCATCCTCTTGGCCAAATCTAGATTAGAAACTCTCCTTCCATGTATACTCCCATATAAAGTTGTGCTTCTTTTTCATTGCACTTATAATTAAATAATCATTGGCATTATTTTGTAAATGTCTGTCTCACTCACTAGATTACAAACTTCACGAGTATAGGGTCTTTATCTATTTTGTTCACACACGTCGCAGTTTCCAGTACACATTCAACAAGTATTTATTGGATGAATGAATGAGTCAACAGAAAAGCATGCGAGGATGTGGTTAGCAGCGAACTGAGACCCTCAAACATTTTCATTTTTCCGTTGAATATTAGCAGGCATGATCCTCTCCTCCTTGCTAAGGTGCTGTGAGATCTTTTTGTAGACTTCTTGTTGGCATATTCCTAGGAACATTGAATAAATGGATCAACGGATGCATGCATGCATGAATGAAGTAGCTGGAGTTGTAGTGACGAAGCTCTTTCTACTATTCACCTCTGAGCCCCTCTGATGTGTCTCAGACTAAAATTCTTTTGTTACTTCAAGCTAGGAGGAAAATGAGCACAAGCATCATTTTTCATCAACCAATAGATATGGACTAGGTTTTCTATTAGATATTATAGAGGTTAAAAGTAATTGAAAAACTTCATTTTCTCCTCTCAAATAACTTACCATATAGTTAGGAAGACAGGTCAATAACACATGAGGGATTAAACAATAAAGGTTGAAGACAATAATACGAGACAGTAGTAATGAAAATGTTATGTGATGGTGTATCATTAACTGCCAATAGAATATAAACAAGAAGATTATTCATTCTAAAGAGAGTGAGGTTTTAGCTTTTAAAGTGGCCCTTCCTCTTACACCTGATACCATTTATACAGATATGAAAACTTTCCCCAAAGGAATTGCACCTTTTAAAAAACAATTCTCTCTACCTTCCTTCTTCCATCTCCTCCCTGCCCTGTCTACCTTCCCAAGCATACTTTGAGTTGTGCATCCTGGAAACAATTACCTGCTGATGCTCTAGGTTTCAGGCTCTCGCTTTCAGGCTCTAACTCTGTCTTTCCCGAGAAACTCCCAATGTGAACCACTGTCCACCCTGAGGCCCTGTAGCTGCTGCTCTGTGTGAGAGCATTATGGAGAGAGATGCAGACAGAAATGGTGACTGGTTAGGAGTGCCCATTCTTTGCTTTGGCTACATAACTCATTCATAACAGATTGTTAGAAGTTGCCATTTTTCATCTGGTTTTGTTAACTAAACATGGACCTATCATCAAGAATCATCAAGAATCATCAAACAAGAACCTATCATCTACACATGGTACATTCAGCCTCAGGGCGGCGGGGGGTCTTGGTCAGGAGCCGGGGTCAAGTGCAAAGACAGACTGACCAGTTTGAATTCTGGTCGTGCCATTTCCTAGCCATGTGTCTTTAATTTCTTTGAGCTATGAAATGGACACTGTAAAAGGACTTACTTTACAGGCTTATCATGAACTTTAAAAAAGAGCATGCACGTGAGGGCTTAGCCTAGCACCTGGCACAGAGGTGGCCCTTGGTGAATTTTAACTGTCAGTATCACCATAGCCAAAACTTCTTTGGCTGCCTTAGTTGTTGTGTGGGTGAGCCTGGTTCCTCATGTCCCTCTACTCTTTCCCACCATATATCTCAGAGAGAAAATTTGTTATTGGGCAGAAGCGCGCCTTGAAATTGTCCCTCTGCCTTGAGACCTTCATGGGAACAAGCCTAGGTGAGTCCTTCACAGCCAACTGTAGCACAATGCCTGCTGATTTAAGCTCAACTTGGTTAGTCCGACCTGCTAGTGGAATGGCTATGCCATGAGGAGTGACCCTGGGGACAGGAGTCAGGGTCAGAAGTGTAACCACTGCAGAATGAACATCCCGCAGTGGAAGGAGGAGAGCTTCCAGATCTCTGCTGGGACACTACAACCTTGCAGCAGAAAGCGGGCCATGCTTACAGTGCCTCACCTCGTTTCTGCTCCGGGGGCTCCGGTTAGTGAAGGGGGGCCTTTCTCTTTCCTCAGCGTTCTCGCCAACCCAGGGTCATAGCAATTGTCTAGAATGATTACTCTGTTGTGTCAGTAATCAGCAGCCCGAATGGCGCTCATCTCAGTAAGATTAGAAAAAAATTCCCAGCACGCTGGACCTCGGTGGAGCGCTCTAATCGGGAAAACAATTTCCACCTGGGCAAAGCGGCGTTCAGGACAATAAACGCTATGTCATTTTCGGGCAATTAGAGATGGTTGCTCTCCTTTCTCTGTGCATGTTAAATTGTGTGTGTACAGCATAGGGCAGAAACACTGAGTGCAGAGGACAAAGAGACCTGAGATCCTGCTTTTAATTAGCTTCTCCTCTGACATTGCTTGTGTCTCCCCTGGTCCACCCATCCTAGGTCCTCTAATCATTTCTTACCATGGGCAATGAACATATGTCCCTCCGTTCAGCTAACAGGCACCTGTCTACACAAGGGGACAGATCAACCTCCAACTCCTCCCTCCCTGCCGATTGGAAATGTTGAAGCTTCGAATTTCAATTCGGCCCCTGGGTCTGAGGCCCAATTTTGAACAAGTTGGCATGGGGTGGGTTCTGGTGGTGTATTTTTTAATTGCATTATACTGGGTGATGAAAATCTTTTCATTCTTCATGCATAAAGCACAGGCTGCACAGGGCACACGCTTCCCACCGTGACTTTGAGCCTGGGCCCAGTTCCCTCCCAGGGCCACTTCGTCAGCTGCTCTAAGAGCCTTTGTCATCTCCGTGCTATTAATTGCCCTTGAGCAGCACCAGGCTTTTTAATTCAGGTTTTCCTAGAACAGCAGGAGGGAAAATGGAATGATTGTAGAAGGGAGTTGATGTTAATTGCCAATGTAGGTACAGGTTTTGTTGTGGTTTAAGATAGGCCTTTAAATCTCATAATCTGGAAATAAAGAAGCGGAGATTGGTTAAAGAATCACAGTCCCAGGACCTTCTTGAAAAGCCAGAGGAGGAGGAATGAATGGGCCTTCCTTTGTTTCCTGGTTTTATTGAATCTAATTGTCCCACAATCAAGGTATCCAAAAGATCTTGCTTGAGTCAGAAATACAAAAGATGCCTGTGAGGGCCACACCGTGCCTGCCCCGATTCAGAGACGCAGGGGGGAAAAGACACAAAAATCTAACCCGAGCAATATAAAAGAAATTTTATAGAGACACCTTAGGAGTTTTAAAATACTATCCTTACTGCTGACAGCAGGTGAAACCATTATGAAAGAAGAGGGCCTACCGTTTGGGGAGTTTGGGATGGAGTCGAAAGTTCAGGCTCTTGACAGGACCTTAAAAGAGTCGGGATAGAAATTTTGCAGCAACAGGTAAGTTAATCCACCATCCTGCTACTAAGAGAAGGAAGTTGTTTTCTTTCTCAGATAGTTGTCATTTTAACCATTCCAATTATGTCAACAGTTGTATCCGTACAAAAATTTTTTGTATAAAACATTTCTTTCAGGCAATGTTAAAAAAAAAGAGATCTCTGTGTTGTGGTAGATGAATATACCTCTTTCCTTAAACAGTAGTTATAATAATTAAAAAAAAAAAAAAAGCAACCCAAAGGTGTGTGGCTTTTCATACTAAACTCCCATTCTGGGCTCTTCACCTTGGTCCCACCCTCAGCCGACCCCTCAAATGACAAAGCAGCAGGCCCTCAAGCACCCTGTGGCCTGTTGCCATCATTTTGGAGGCCACAGATTACCTCTGAGACACCATTCAGATCTCTGTTCCAAAGTTGCAGCCAGCTCTGTGGGAGGTGGGGCCCCACGGCGGAGACCCAGGAAATGCAAGCCAGCTGGCTGAAGTTACAATGCGAAGCCTTCAGAAGGATGGCAGATGACAAAGAGGTCTGTGGACAGCAAGTCCACTAGGGCGACCACTCTAGTCACTCTCCTCCATGAGTGCTCTTGTAGCTAAACTTCAAGAGGGGAAGGCATAGCCGCAAAATGGCAGGAACCCTTGCGTGGCTGATGCAAATTCACACCTACAAGCCTGAAGTGCAAAGAGCCAAGACCTCACAGAGGACCCAAGGGGGCACAACTCGAGATCCTCCAAGCAAAGGTTCTTCTGACACCTGCAAAAGTACTCCCAAGCCAATCCCTGTGGCAATCAGCAGCCCCACTGAGGTCAGGTTCAAAGGTCAATGCCTTATCCAAAACATTCCTGGCACCAAGGCATGATATCCTCTCCCAGTCTCCTTCTCCAATGTGGTGAAAGACCTGCTTATGTCACAGTTGCTTAGAATTCGCAAGAAATGGGCAACCCAAGGAGTTAGTTCTTTTTTTTCATGTCCTGGCATTGCTAAAAACTTACACTTTCTCATGCATAGTGGGTATCTATGTCATGGTGGGAAATATAAATATATAAATATAAGGTGTCCCTTAGAACACTGTACCACTCCAAGCTAGAGGAGTTTGCGCTTTTGTTTCCAGCCCAGCGTACCACTGTTGAAGGCCAGTTACTTCTGGTCAGTGTCTCCTTTTTCCAAACCAGATGGGAAGGCCTTACACATCATCATATTCCTGGGAACCCTGAGAAACTGTTCTTTCCTGGGAAAGTCAGCCAACAAGCTGAGGAGGACAATGAGTTCCTTGATTCTGTCATTCATGAGGAGCCCTAATAAGAGCCACCAATGGGCCCCAGCCACAGATGGCCATCCAGGCTGTGTGGTAGGGACTCACTGGAACCTCGAGATCCTACCTTGAGGACAGCTGTGGCTTATGGCTTGGTGGTGAGGACCTGGGCATGGGAATGAGGTAGAGCTTAGTCACTTCCTTAGCGGGTGGCTCTAGGCAAGTGATAGAACCACACTGTCTCGGTTTCCTCAGCTGTGTAATGGTAAGGAGGACACTTGCACGGTAGGGCTGATGTAGAGATTAAAATGAGGTCAATGCATGTAGAATTATGCCAGCACACAATAGGTGCTCAGTAAATGTGGGCCAGGATTGTATTACTGGGCGGTCTGGGTCAGGACATTGTAACGTCTTAGGCACAGTGTCATGTGTAAAATCTGAGTGACACTCTGCAGAGCGGGAGGGAGCACTTCTCATAACTGCCTGAGGACAAAAGCACAGAGGGGACAGTCCCAGGCTTAGGTCAGCCTCACTAAAATCATGTCCTACACTTTCAGCATGGGTCTTGCCTGATGCTTTTAGGAATGTTTCCCTTTTTGAATGAGAGCTACTTTTCAGCATGACCTCCCCTTCCTGGGCTCCGATGGATCCGATTAAAATCCATCCACTCTCCATCCTTCTCCCCAGAGCCCACCTAAGAAAGCCCAGCTACGCTGGCTGGCTGACAGACCAACAGGTTCTAAATGCTACAGTGCCTGTAGCTAATGCAAAGGGCAAAACCAGTCATAGGGTCTAGCCACTGGCTCCTTTCATCAAGATAAGGCCCCTTCAGTGGGGAATTCTAGCCACAGTAGTGCTCCTGGCCGCCCCAACACAACGTCTCCTTTCCATCAGCCTGCAGCCGTGGCAGCACTTAAAGCCGAAAGTGACAAAGACACTTCACAGAGGGGATCGATGTCATGTTAGAGCAGAGCCACTTGAGAGCAGACAGGAACAAAGATGCTCTGGTGTTCAGAAACTGCTCTGCCCTCCCGGGAAAGGTGAGAGAACATTTTGCTCATAGAAGTTTCCACACCTGCCCACCTGCCCCTCCTGATCTTCACTGGGAAAAAAAAAAAAAAAAAATCAGCTGTTTGATTTAGTCTCCGTTGCTTCCACTGATAGCCATACTAAATTTACTGTTTATAAGGTGAAGAAGGAGAAATCCTTAGAGACTTGGAAAAAGTAAATTTAAGTCAAACCATAGTATTTAAACCTGAAATTCTGGGACTAGTAGAGAGTTTGTAAAATCTACTGTTTCATTCCCTCTCTTCTAGAAAGAGAGCCATCTGTAGCTTTTCTTGGTCCGCGCCTGGCATTTTCTTCCCTGTCCTCTGTGTTCCTTCAACTCAAAAACGGGAGTTAATAATGCCTGCCTTACCTGCCTCACGGGACTTTCTGTGCAGATTGATAGCAATAAAATAACATAAATAATCTATGTTTAGATGGCACTTTATAAAGAAAGCACTTTCCATCTGATCCTCACAACGACCCTGTGAGGTGGATAATCTGAGCTACGGTGCATAAATGTGGGTTGAGAGCACTAAACAGTATGAGCAGCAAAGCCCTGTGCTCACGGATGGTGTAAATGTCAGGAATGATGATAAGGAGTGGTCTCCGTGTCTGGTTCTCTCAGGAAGGGTGAAAGTCAGGAGTGGCTGGGATCTTGCCAGCAGCCCGCCCAAGTGCTTCTCCTCGGCCTACTGCAGGGCATCCCCCGCCCCAGCCTCCTGGGGGGACCAGGGAGCTGTGTTAGGGTCCATCGGGGAGAACTCGGCTCCATCTGCTTGCAATCACAATCCTCTGTCTAAACCCTCCCCTCAAGAGGTTGAGAATGGATCCAATGGGATTCCTTCTTCTCCCAAGTGGTTTCCCCACCACCCACCTGCCAGACTCAATGTGGTCTGCAGTGAGAACTCAGTGGTCAGGTGTGCCCATAGCCCAGGACGCGGTCAGTGGTCAGGTGTGCCCATAGCCCAGGACGCGGTCAGTGGTCAGGTGTGCCCATAGCCCAGGACGCGGTGTGAAAACCCACATCCAGTATCAGTCTGGAGAGCCGGCAAAAATGCTATCCCTTCTTCCTGGGAGCATCGGCCCAGTGATTCGCACACAGGAGGTAGTGAGGAGGAACAGTGTCTCTTCCACGTCTGACTGACCTCAGAGGTAAAACTTTTGAAAGCAACCAGATTTTTGCGACCATCACTTGAGTTTTAGATTCAATTTCCAATCTGGAATTCTGCTCTTTCCTTAATGTCAGCTCCTGCACCCTGGAGTCACTATTCCTTTAGAGATCCAATGTCACTTTTTCCAGGGGTCTGT